TGAGTCCAAACTGCACACACAGGGTAATGTACTAAATTAACATGCCCAGGTAACCTTCTAGAGCACACAAGACAGCCTTTTATCTGTAGATGGAGCAGCTATCGTTACAATGTTTGAGCTTTGGGCGGGTGTATGTAGCAGTACAGAGTAAACGTGTACAGTACCCCTAGAAATCAGCTAAGGAGGCCCCTCAAAACTATTATGCTGGAATTACTAGTTGATGATTTATAGACAGAAAGCCTCTATATGGATAAGCATCCCATTAGCTGATTTTACCATATTTATAACAGCAATCTATATTGAAAATAGTTTGCCCCTTAGTTGTTCTTAAGGGTACTTTGTTCTCCTTTTCCTTGTTACAGAGTGAGGGGCCAGCCAGACCCAGGGCAGGCTATGGAGGTCATCGTGAGACAAACATGATTGAGTCTGTAGTGGGAGGGCTGGATCCCATCTCCAGAGTGAGCTTCTCAGACAGCATAAAGAGGACAATCTGCCACCACCTCTATACGTAGAATCCCCTCTGGTCCTGCTGTGACCACAGTCTACGAGTAGGCTCATGAGGCAGGTCAAAACCAGAGAGAGTCTGGGGATTAAGTTCAGAAGTTCAGGCTAATAAAGCCAGACATGCAGAAAAGAAGGAATGAAGGAAGGACAATGGAGTGGAGATAAAAAGGGCTTGCACCTGGAGAGCTTCTGACCCATTGAACAGAGCGAATTTAGGCCAGTGATTTTGGTTGTCCTGGGCATATTGACGCCAGACATAGATCTGACTTGAGCCCTGATATTTTTTTTTCTGCAGAGGGCCCATCGCCCATAGTGTAGGTCTAAACAGTCTGGGACTTGTTTCCTTATGAAGTATCTTTCAGTTTGGAAATGTCACCAAAACCAAGTTCCCAAAAGTCTCCCAAGTGGGGAACAGTCCAGAAGAAGGAAAGACTACCGTGTCTGGGGTCTGACACAGAGTTGAAGCCCCAGTGTGCCGCTGGGGTCTACATGACTCTTGCCTGTACAGTGCTGTGTGTGGGCTCCAGAAATGGCAGACGGCCCTCTCGAGTGCTGGAGGTTGGTTTAGAGGCTGAGACAAAGACCCACAGAGTGGATCACCGTTCTGCCAATAGAGCTAAGACAAATCTCTCTGGCGCCATCCCGCTCGTGTTAGAAGGCATGGGTGAAGTCTCTGGGTCACATACTGGCTACGGTTTAGTTTGGAAGGTGTTGTCCTTGGAAGGTTAAGATGAGAATGGGGGATGAGGAACGGAGAAGGACCCACTGGGAAGTCCTTCCTGGTGTCCAGCACCAAGTGTAAGAACTAAATCAGAGGAGGGAGGCGAAGGCACAGACAGCTGGACATCAAAACAGCATGAGTGGGGCTTGGTTGGTCTGAGAGGCTGGCGTCCCCAACTCCCTGCCCGTGGGAGGCTCAGTTTCTGTAGTGGAGAACACAGGAGCTGCAGGGCATAAACTCCTTCTAGAAACTGCAGGGCCTGGGATGAGCCACTTGTCCATTATACTTCCTCAGGGACCCACACTGTGTGATGGGGATTCCTGAGTCCCAGAATTCCACGGGCATGAATGGAGAGACGGTTTCTTGAAGTCTTGGGCCTGTTTTATTCCCCTGGTTTTGGGGTGCGGATTTCCTTTAAAACTGAGAGACAAATGTGTTTCCTTAGAAGATTTTTATTTCTTCCAGGCCCATTACAAGCACTGAGCAGTTTTTGCAAAGCTATAATCAAACACACTGACTTTTGATTTAATTAAAATTATGCAATAGAAATTGGAGACAAGAAAAAAAGAAGACGACATTGACACCTGAGTTACAAATTTTCTTACTGGACCAGTGTGTGGCCTCCCCACTCTTTCCCTGCAGAGAGGATCTTTAGAAATACTCAGAAGTCAAATGGATTTCTCAGTGAGCTGTATATTCCCTGTCATAATCTTCGGAGGGTAGGGTTAGCTTATGTTGTCTGTCTGTTTCTTCAGCTGATTTGCAACCACTGGAGAAGCTAATGAGGGATCAAAGCGGGAAAGGGCCATAAATACAAATTAATTCCTTTCATACATGTTGGAAAACACAACAACAAAACCCAAAACCCAGGACATGTTCCACTTTTTTTACGCTCCAGGTGTGATGAGAGATTAGGTATCCAACATGGAGAGGCGAGTTAATTAAAGTTTTTGTTCTGGCTTACAGAAAGAAATGTCTTTTCATTTGATAAGGGGTTGGCTCTTGTGTACCATGGGTGCTTTCTTCTCCTTCACAGGAGTGGCACAAAAAAGCAGATCAAAGCAGCCTTCCATCGGGATCTCTTTCCTGACACCTTTCTGGGCTAATGGAGTTAAAAGTGTCTTCCACTTACAGTGTGGGGCTCATCTGACTTTAGAAACGACAGTAGGAGTATTGGGAACAAGTAAAACAGCATCCATGGGTGCTTATGGAAAACCATATTTAACATGAATTAAATAGAAACCAGCCCAAAAGGTCCAAGTGGGAGAGCGTGGCAGGTGCCCCTCCCCCTCCATCTGTATTTTATTCGTCGACTCTGAGTGACAGCTGGAAATTAGCACTTGAGCTCGACCGTCCCAAGCGCTGTAGATTTTCTGTATATTCCCTGTTCCTTTTGGTCATTATGATTCAGCACCCCATGGCTGACATTTCCTACCTTCGCCGGGCGGGGCCGGGAGGGCATGTTTGGGAGAATTCCTGCTGTTTTTCTCTCCTAGGAGAGAAATAGGATGGAATGAAACAGAAGTGGCCCGGAGAGGCCTGTCTGAGCTGGCAGGTCAGCCTGCTCGCAGGGGTTACGCATTGTCTTGCAGCTCTGGGCTCCTGCAGAGAGAAACCTGGCCTGGCTGCAGCCACCAATGAAAAGACCGCATTTAGCAGTGCAGGGCTTTGTGAAGGCGCCAAAGCTTGACATGGTTGCTATAGTTACTGTCTGATTGTGGTAGCTTGTCACAGTGCTTGATAAAGTGGGAAGGTTATCCATGATGGGCCCAAGTAATCAGAACCTTGCAAAGCTTGAGTGTGTGGGTTTAAATAGTTTTTTTTTTCTCCTGTCTTTAAGCTAGGAGTGCAGGGGGTTTGGGTGGGGGCAGGGAATTCTTAGGACAGCAGCCACAGGGCTTTTCTTTCACACTGGGAAGCTTACCCTAGCCCAGGGGGAAGGTTTCCTTGAGGCCCAACAGAAGTGAGGGTCAGGCTGCTGGCCTCCTGCTAAGCCATGGCTGGTGTGAGTGGCTTTGGGGGGCTGCAGAGACTCTCTCCTGACCCGTCCTGTGAACTGATGTGACAGCTGGTGGGTTCTGGCTCTAAGCTGATAGACACTTTCTCTTTCTTCAGAGGGGACCTGAGCCTCTGTCTAGGTGGCAGTCTCGTGCTCATTGACAAAGGGGCTATGGTAGCTCTTTATCCAATTCTGCCGTGGTCAGAAGTCCTAGTTCCCAGCTGTTGGCTGTGTCACAGGGTACTGACCAAGGTCTAAGAGCCACCGAATGGGCCCAGACTTTGCAGTTTAGAACACGTGGATGGATTAGTTCCCAGAGACTCAGGTGACTTGGTAACCAGGGAGGAACTGGTACCCAGTTCTAGGAACCTTGGAAGTGGATTGTCTCCTCAGCCTTTCTCCCAGTTCCCTGGTCCAAGGCAGGACTTTCCTGCCCTCCCGCTCTATCTAGAGTGCATATCTCCAAGTGAAGCCCAGGCTGCTGTTGAGTACCTGGCCAGGCGGCTTTGCCCAGGGCCCGTGCTCCTTGCTTTCAAAGTTGGCCTACTAGCAGGCCAGGGTTCACTCTGCTCTCATGCGTGTTGGGTGCTGCGAACTCCAAAGGCAGGAATGAGCCTCAGTGCCCCTTCTTCTGCACGCAGCTCGAGGAACAAGGGGAATGGATCCAAGTGGGTCCTGTCGATTCAAACCCACAGCCCTCATCCTAAAGGGCAGAGTTTATTTTGGAGCCATCTTGAGTGACCATGGCCTTAGAAAACAGATTTAGGTTATCCCAAATTCCAGGTTTCAGCATAGTGGTAGTTTCATGAAGTCTTATAGTTTCATGGAACAAAGACAGTTGTAAGTCAAGGCCAGTTTAAAACACATTGCGGGGAGCACTAGAGAGGTAGTGGGCAGGGCGATAACGGAGCTCACCTATTGGCCAAGATGCCATCTGATGATGCCCTAGTTTTTAGGGTCCACTAAGTTAGTAGATGACAAAGTTTCTATGTGTCTGTCGCAAGATGTTAGTTCAGACACAGTGATGGGCAAGGAATGGGCGTTCCAGAAGGAGCCTAAGAGAAGGTAATCAGCCCCTAGACCTGCACGGTTCCACCCTCTCTACAGTACTGGGGCTCTAGTCAGCCCGTCAGCCCCTGCAGACACAGCTTCCTTCCGGACTCTTGCTTACAGTACTGAGGTGGAAAGAACCTGGGTAGGTGTCATTTTCCTAAGCCACTTAACTGAGATGGGGAGTCCAGTGTATACCCAGGGCAGGGCTGAGTATATGTTAGATGTAGCTCCCCGTGCCAGAGGGGCTGTACTTTCAGACTGAAAGACAAATAGTTGTCCTCAGGCCCTAATTAGAAACAAAGCACAACCGGAATTCATTTACCCCTGAGTGACAGGGCTCAGAACCCAGTACGGCTGCTCTGTGTGTAGCTGTGGTACCTGGATGCAAATGACGTGATCATTTGTCAAATGTAATCTGACTCTCCAGGATACCAGAGCATCTCTGCTAGCATATGCTAGGTTTAGGGCTTGGGGGAAGGTAACTGTGGTTCTTCAGTGAAAGTCACTGGAAACCGTTTGTCCAGATAAGGATAAATCAAAATGAATGAATTTTGGGCTCTAATTCCTTACCAAACTGCATAGCCCAGGTTGGCCTAGGAGTTCCCCAATTCTCAAGTCTTCAGCACATGTCCTCAGAGCCCCTACTATGCTTTGTTCGGTTGGATCAGTGGGAGGAGTGATTCCAGTGGTGGCAGCAGTGCTCACAGTGACCTTTCCCCTCAGGGTGCAGAGGTGCAGACAGACTACATACCCCTGCTGAACTCACTGGCGGCCTACGGATGGCAGCTCACCTGCGTGCTGCCCACGCCCATACTCAAGACTACCAGGTAACGGGAATGGTGACTGTGGTGATTCCTGTCATTGCTCCTGAGAAGTGGGTAATCTCCTTAGCTCTGCATCAGGCCTGTGCGCTGGCACTGAACTCTCTGGCTTCGGCTTCCAGGGCCAGGGTTTCACTTACTTCTCTCTTTCCCATCCTCACTTGGAGGAGCCTTGGCCAGAGCGTCAGGGTTGCCCTGGGGGACTGAGATTTGCCACCTGGACTGGCAGGACAACGCACCAGCAGACATGAAGCAGTTCAGTGCCTACTCTGGGCTCTGGGCTTGGTAGTACTATGTGTACAGAACCTCAGTGAAGGGAGGGTGGGTGGGGAAGAGAAAAGGAAGCAGGGAGAGAGTCTGAAGGACTTCGGTAGAGACCTCTGAGGAAGACTTTTGCCTTTGAGATAGGATCTCACTCTATCCCAGGCTGGCCTTGAACCTCTTCTCCTCCAGCCTTAGCCTCCTGGATGATAAACATGTGCCACCACACCAGCTGATTTATTAATATTTTAAATCCATTTTCAGCCAAGGAACATGTACCCTGGAATAATAGGATTACACAAGATTATGCCCCTGTGAGGCAGATACACAGACCTGAGTCTTAGGCCTCACTTACAGTATTCTTTACAAGTTCAGGTTCATGGATGCCTTCCCGTTATCCTTGAGCCGTGTCATGCAAACCCTAGAAGACCTCCCATCTATCTTTTGGGTCCTCCTAACTTTCCTTGGGGGCTACAATCACAGCTGCAGTTCCCATTTATGTGTGAAAAGTGAAGTTCAGAAAGGTCCTCCGTGGGCCTGAGACCCATTGTCAGTGGGGAGCAGAAACAGGGCCCAGCGTCTCAGCATGTAGTGGCCGGCTGAGGCCGGCAGCTGGCTGCCTCTCCGTTGACCTACACTGATTCCCCTCTCATCTCCCTGCCCGGCGGTTCTTAGGGTTCTGCCTTTACTGAACTCGCTACGCAGTTCACATTGTAGGGCGACAGCAGCTGGCAAGACTGATGGCCTGGGCTGGTTGACAGTGGGAGAATGACCATGATAGCCCGTGTCCTTCCTGGGCCCCTCTTCTGGCAACTCTGGGTCCTCAGCGTCCCCACCTGTCTATGGCTACATTTGGGTTTGGCCACTGGGAACCCCCGTGCTCTTTTGCAGACCAGAACCTCTCCAGGCACAGGCTGATACAGTAGAGCAGAAAGCACCCCAAGGCTGCCTCTGTCATCCTGGCTAAGCCTGCAGCTTCTCTGAGTCAGGTTCCTAGTTACTTTCCAGAGGGCACAGCCGTGATGGCAATGAGATTGGACAGGAAGACCCTGTGCTCTGAGAACCCAAGGTGCACAGAGCTGTCTGTCTCCAGGATGCAACCTACTCCCCCATCCCCTTAAGCATCCCAGCCTCAGTGGATCTCAGCTCCTGGGACTGAGCAGGTCTATCTGACCCTCCCCGTGTGATCCTGGGGGCGGGTGCTCATGAGCATGAGCTGAGCTGAGCTGGGTCTGTCAAAGTGGCTGTGGGCTGCTCCACAGCGGGGCCATGAGTCTGAAATGAGCTCTTAGGTGTGAAATCACCAGCCCAGCCTCTGCCAAACTGAGTTCAAGGCCAGTTTGGCCCACAGAGCGAGTTCCAGGACAGCCAAGGCTACAAAGAAAAACCCTGTCGGGAAAAATGGGAAAAAATAAAGAAGGTAAATAAGGGGATGGAGAGATGGCTCAGTGGTTAAAAGCACTGTCTGCTCTTCCAGAGGACCCAGGCTGAATTCCCAGCCCTGACATGGAAGCTCACTACTGTCTGTGACTCCATTTCCGGGGATCTGACACCCTCACCCAGGCAAACGTGCAGGCAAAACACCAATGTACACAAAATAAAGGCGAACAAAGGGTAGAGGTGGAGAGAACCGTGGTCAGCTTTCTATCAAGTAGAAATATCCTGACAAGGTACAGCATGTCGTCCTGCCTTCTCTGACTCAAGCAATGAGCTATCATATCATTCCATCAGTGTGGGACAGACTAGGTTAGCATGTGCCAACTCACTGCTAGCCTGACGCTGCCAACATCAGCGAGCCTGTAGGAGCCACGCAGTAGCTCTTCCTCTGCAACCCTCATGGCGCACCGGAGGGCTAAGTTCACCACTCGCCACTGTTGTCCTGCCCAGCCATACCATAAGTACCAAAGACAGAGCTGCAAGTCACTGTTCCTACTGGGACTCACCTAGCCAAGGCGCCAGCTGCCACTGCCCATCGAAGGTAGGGGAATTAGTAACCAGGAAGCAGAGATAGCAGATAGCATTGTTTGGTGTTGGAGGTAGCCTTTGGCTTAGGGGTGGAAAAGTAGAGAAGGGAACTCTGACTCCCTGGTCTGGCAGCCGCCTTCCATCACTTAAAGGAAGTTCGGGATTGCACCTGTCGGGGATGAGGCTGTGTTTCCCAGGGACACAGCCTCACGCTCAGCTCCTGTGTTGTAGGGAAGGGAACGTGTCCACCAAGCAGATCGTGTTTCTTCAGAGACCGTGCCTACCTCAGAAAGCCAAGAAGAGGGAATCAAAGGTAAGAGACATGAGTCTTCTCTACCCGCCCTTCCTGTCCCCTAGTTTTATGTCTGAGCATCTCGGCTTCAGTTGGGTGTGTGCCAACTGGGCATCTCCCATTTCCAAAGACTCTTGGGACCCAGAAAAGACACAAGTTCACATTGGGTCATAGTAGAGGGAGGATGCTGGGATGGACCATTGAGGAGCTGGTCCTCAGGCTTCCGACCATCAGGGCAGATGACAGAGACTTCTGGTCACCAGCCTGTGCTAGAGAATCCCACGAGGCTCAAATTAGGACACAAAGCCAGCTGCAGTGACCTGAGATCATGCTCTTCCTGATCTCAAACAAGCTTGCTGGAGCTTTGGCCTGCCTGCTAGACCCCTCGGGATGTTGGAGTTTGCTGATGCTGGCCTGGTGTGCTAGTGCATGTCTGTAGCCCCTGCATGAGTGTGAGGCCAGCCTCTGCTACGTAGGAGGCTTTGCTGACAGCTCAGTCTCTACGTGACAGTACTGTTGTGAGGCAGGAGAGTGAGGTTGTGGAGGGTGTGCTCTTAAACAGGACATTGGAACAGCCCCTGCCCCTCATTGGGTTTTCCTGTCACCATGGGTGAGCAGTCTGTGTCTGTGTCACCATGGGTGAGCAGTCTCCACCACCCACCCCTGAAGATGGAGTTTTTCTTCCGCCTATTAGCCCCAAATAAACACATAAAGACTTACATTAATTTATAAAACTGTTTGGCTGGTGCCTTAGGCTTCTTATTGGTTAGCTCTCTCTCTTAATTATTAACCCATTTCTATTACTGTATGTATTGCCATGAGACTGTGGCTTACCTGTAATCCGGCATGTTATTTTTTCGGCCGCATGGCGGCTCTCTCTCCGCTCCCCAGAATTATCCTAGTCTGGTAGCCTTGCCTATGCTTCCTGCCTGATTACTGGCCAATCAGTGTTTTATTCATCAGCCAATAAGAGAAACATATATACAGAAGGACGCCCCCCCCCCGTTACACCCCCCAGCACCATGTGCTATCTCAGCACAGGCCCAAAGGCAATGGAACCAATAGACTGCAAACCAAATCCTCTGAAACTGTCACCCAAGCTAGACCTTCCCTTCTTTTAGGGTGACTTTCTTTTAAAGCTCTTATTTGTTTTTGTTTCGTGTGTGTGTGTGTGTGTGTGTGTGTGTGTGTGTGTGTGTGTGTGTGTGTGTGTGTGTGGCTATGCCTGCATGTATTACTTGCATGTCAGTGCCTGTGGAGGCCAGAAGAAGGAACTGGATCCCTCGGTTGTGAGCTGCTTGGTGTCGGTGCTGGGGATTGAACCTGGCTCCTTTGTAAGACCACCAAGTGCTGAGCCATCTCTCTCCAGCCACCTTAAGTTGAGCTTCTCATCTTACTATAGCAAAAGAACACGGATTATATGCTGTAGGTATATTTCTCAGGAATCTTCTCAGGAATCTTCTCAGGAAGAGGCCAGCAGGTGAACGAGTCTACCAAAGCCCCGGTTAGTTGTCACCCGGATCCGCCGTGCTCCATTTTGATGACCAGAGCCACACTCCGGCAAAAGTTGCCAACCTGTTTAGCTCTGCACAGTTGGCACACCCCCACACTCCCCACTCCTTGTCCCTAGTGTTCTTTGGACCCCGAGTCCCAGGTGAGAGCATCTAGCCACCGAACAGATTGCAGCAGCCCCTCATCAGCCAGCAAACCCTGTGGGTTGTGAAGGGATGCCAAGGTGGCGAGGACAAGAAGGCATGGGCTGGAGTGCAAAAAAGGCCACTCTCCAGGCCGTGGGACAGTCATGTGATAGTGACAACAGCGGTGAACCAGAAAGCAGCGGCCGCTCTCCAGGCTCTGGGACAGTCATGTGATAGTGACAACAGAGGTGAACCAGCAGCTGCCAGTCACCATTAACCACCAGGAGCAGTCAGCCACCACCTGGAAGACAGATGGTCATAGATGATACCACGTGGTGCCCAGTCTCATGCTCTCAGGATGTCACCAGTCACAGAAAGTGACATTCCATAAGCAACATGCAAGATCCACTACTAGACAAGGACAGGTTGTGCTTTAGCCCCGTGGTGGAAATGGCTCTAGAACTCCTTGCCAGGTGTCTCCTTGTAGGGCTCCTTGACTCTCGTGGGAAGACTGGGGCATCCCACTGAGGGACATGGCAGTGGTGGCCTGATTTGAGGTGCAGATTTTTTTAGCTGGTAAATGGGTATAAGGGTCCAACTGATCTGACTGGTTCATCCAGACCCCTGAAAGCCTGGAGGCTGATCGAGGCACTTATGCATGAGCTGAGCCAAAGGTGTGGCTGCCCTTACCCTCTAGAACAAGGCTGGTGTTTGTTTGTTTGTTTTGTCCTTTTTTTCCCCAGGAAGGAAGTCTGGGAGGTAGCTAAAGAAACCAGGTTGAACTCTAGCACTGTAGTTTCCAAGCTGTGTGACTTGGGACAAGTTACCCAACTTCTCTGTGTTGTGTGTAAAATAGAACCAATGATGTTTATGGCCTTACTTGGGGACTCAGGGAGACGTGAACCCCTATCAAGCATGACACATAGTAGGTCCTCATACTCTTTGAAGCTCCAAATGTGGACCCCTGTTACTTACCTGGCTCCCAAATACTTCCCCTGCCAAAGAGAACCTGGCAGGGCCTGACCCATGCCTCCCTGGGAATCTGGCTTCATGACCGCTGGGGTGGTCCAGACAGCACCGGGAGTCATGGGGTGCCTCACAAGCCCATTTGAGGACACAGGAAGCAGTATAGTCCTAGAGACCCCTCTGTGATGACCCAGAAGGGCAGGAAGGGTTGGAAGGGGTCTTGCCTGGCTCACGGTAGCCCTACAAGGGCGCTAGAGAGAGCAGCTGCATTGCCGGCCTTGTAACCTGTAAGCTGCCATCTTTTTCAGAAGAACGAGGCCTTCTACAGGCCGCTGTGGCCAGGCTTTCACAAAGACTGGACATTTCTGGCGTATTTAGCAGAGGCAGATGCTGAGGAAGTCTGGGCTCTAGACTGGCAGAACTGTCCTTGACAGGACACTGTGTGTCCACAGGAGGCACTACTCACATTAGCTACAATGCATGGGACCAGGGACAACTGTGAGAGATGAGGGCCACCGCAGGTATAAGAGCTTGCTCAGGAAATGACAGCTGTTTAGTGCTGGGGCCAGGACGTGGACTCACCAGCCTTGAAGTGTAAGCCTCTTAGCTGAGCCAATCCTGCTATTCTTTTGGCAAAAGTACAGCTTGCTCTGACTTCAGCTTGCCAGCTCCAAGGATAAAATACAGACTAGCTAAAGCAACTTCTTACACAAGCATGGAAGACCCCGGAAGGTTCTGTCTGGGAACACCCATTTGTGTGGGACTCCAACCAGAGAAACAGGGCGTCCAGAAGGTTAGAGTGGATGCTCCCGACATGCCAAAAGCTAACGGCTGTGGGTTTTTGTTTTCCTTTCACTGGGTCCCCGGTTGGTGGAGCTGTTTGAGAAGGGTTAGGAGGCGTGGCCTTGTGGAAGGAGGTGTGTCATTGGAATGGGCTTTGAGGTTTAAAAAGCCCGGGCCATTTGTAGTTAGCTCCTCTCTGATCAGATGCGAGCTCTCAACTCCTGCCGCAGGGCCGTGCCTGCCTGCCTGCTGCCACACTCCTCACCGTGAAGCTCATGGACTCTGACCCCAAAACCGGGAGCCTCAAAATTAAAATCAAGCTAAATGCTTTTTTCTTTGTAAGTTAACGTAGTCATGGTGTCTCACCCCATCCCGATGGTAGAAAAGTAAGGCAGCTTAGCCTCCTGAATAGTGACGTGCACACTCCTCCTAGCTCATTTTAATACTTAGGTGTACATTTGGCATGGCCGCTGTGGAGCAGCTGAAGTGGAGGGAGACTAGTGAGAACTTAAAAGCTGAGGTCCTGTGTCTCTCGGATCACAAAAGAGGCGGGAAACCTGGCCAGTGAGTGTCCCAGCTGCTCCTTTCTCAGCAGTCCCCTTCCAGAGCTACCGTAAGATCGAAGCTTTTGCCACCCCGTCACTGGGTATGTGACCTTAGGACTCTGAGCTGAGTTCTTTTCACAGGAGCAAATCTTAGTTGCAGCATACTGTCTGTGAAGCAGGCTGGAGGATGGATCTGGGGGAGGAGGCTCTCAGGGGCAGCACCCTGTAAGGTGGGCCAGACGGAGAAGCTGGGCTGGGCTGCATCTCAGTCTCCAGGGGACTGTCAGTTGGGTTGCTGTGAACCACAGATGAGTCATAGGTTTGTGGGTTTGTCTGAGCACCTTCGTCAGCTTGTGAGAGAGGGCTGATAGCATGCCTCACCCCTGGAGCTGTGAGGAGCAGCCCATGAGTCCTGCAGGATTACCTAGAGTCCACAGCGCAGCACCCAAGCCATGTGTCCCTGGCTAGCTCATGCAAGCTGGGGAGAGAATTACCTGCCCAGTACTCACTGGCTCCCAGCCCACTCACAGCGGGCCTGGATAACTGTAGGCCTGGTGTCTGGGGAGGGCAGCTTCCCGCCGCCCCAGGAGCACTTGCCTCCTTTGCCATGGGGCCCATGACACCTTCTCCCTCCACAGCTCCCGGAAATCTAGAACCTACACATGGAGGTGTTAAACAGGCCCTGGGGGTGGGGACATGGCTTGGATTAGACCCTGGCTTGGTGGTGTCGGGGCATCTGGGAACTGTTGGGTTTGGAAGAGTCAAGCTGGCTCCCGGTGACTGTGGATTCATCCCCACCCTCTCTGCTTTCCAGTTCCAGTGGCGATTCTCCCGGGAACAGACACATGGCAGGCAGACGAGGAGATCCAAAGGCAGACGCAGTGCCAGAGACAAGCAGCAAGCAGAGGAGAATGAGAAGAATCTAGAAGACCAGTTTCCCAAGGCTGGAGATGTGGGAAACTGTGTGCTGGGGACACAGCAGAGGGGCGGAGCCCCTGAGGTCAGGGAGCAAAGGCTGAGCTTGGGGGCTGTGCAGAATGGTCCTGCTGGCCACCACAGGGACTCGGTGGCCCCCAGGCACTCAGATCCCAGAGTGGAAGATGAGCTTGCTTCAGGGCCCGCTCCAGCAGAGGCAAATTGAGTCTGTGATTTGTGCTAGGCCTGCAGTGTGGTGGCAAACCTTGGGAAGCTTGCTAGCAGCTGCTTCGCTCTGTGTTATCCTGTGGCTTGACCCATCGTTAGCCCATGGCCCTGTGAGGGCTGGTCTCTGACAGTGTCATCTTCTGAACACCCCCTGGAAAGCTGTCTTAATGATCACTTATGTTAGAGTGCAGGGTTGGGCTGTTCCTTCTAGACCTCGGGGCTGGAGGTCTGGTCCCACCACTTCCCCAAGGGAGGGCATGGACCAAACAGTACCTGCACTTCCTCACAGGGCTCCAGGGCACATCTGGGTCAACTTCTGGGATAGCCTTCGCTACAAACCAAGGTTTTTCACTCACCCCTACATGCACCTGAGCCCTGCAGCTCTGTGGCTGTCCTCCTCTTCCTCATGAACCCTGCAGGGGACCCTGCTGCTTTGGAAGGTGACGATGGTGGGGAAGGGGAGGTACCCATACCCCCTGCCTTTCTCAGAGTAGTTCTATAGATACTGGCGATCTGGAAACAGGTAATTCTCTGTGCTCCTGCTCTTGCAGGGTGTTCAAGAAAGTATTCTGTATTAATATTAATGCCAAAAATGTTGTTTTCTAATTTTGTATTCAACATGTCTCTGAATACGTTCTGTCATTTCGGGCAGTTGGTAATTGGGTGCCCTTGTGTGCTATTTTTGTTGGTGTGTCTTTGACTGAGTTGTATACTGTGCCTGTCACTTTTTACTGTCTATAAAGTGTTGTTAAGGCTTTAAGTAGATGCATCTGGCATACCTTGGAGAGAGAACGCAGTTGTCTCAATGGAAACAGCCTGTCTCTTTCTTGTTTAGTTACTTAAAGCAATAAATCATCTGAGTTCTGTGTGTGGTGAGTATTTACCTTGTCACAACTGAGGTCATTATGCCCTGTGATGGTCGGGTTTTCTACCTCCTGGCAGTGTGATAGATTCTGACAAACAGCAAAACCACCTAAGCTCACTGGGGTTTCAAGCTTTGGTTAAAAAAAGCAGTAGAAAGTGAATTTGGATGTCACCAGGTGAGCAAGAGAGCACAAGTCGGCTGCGATAAAATGCCTTTAAGATCAACATTGATTCAGAGGTGTGGTCTCTACGATTCAAGTAATCTATTTCATGAGGAAAATATTTTTTTCATTTCCATAAAGCCTTGTGCAGCCATCTCTCTCTCTCTCTCTCTCTCTCTCTCTCTCTCTCTCTCTCTCTCTCTCTCTCTCTCTCTCTCTCTCTCTCTCTCCTCTCTCTCTGTCTCTGTCTCTGTCTCTCTGTCTGTCTTTGTGGTTTGTGTCTTCTTTTCTTCTCCCTTGTACTGTGTTGATTCTGACAGGTGTCACTGTATCATGGAAGTTCTCAAACGAGCTGTACTTCAGAAAATGCATTTTGACCAGTCATGGTTTTCAGTAATGGCCTCCACCTACATCAAGGAGCAGCACCTTTGATGAGGGCTGAGGGCTGCCCTTACTTGTAGGTCTGAGGATACGTATTTACAATGCAGTTAGGAATTACGCTGGCCTAGTAAAGTGGAGTGGTGGGTTCTCCTCCAAGATCCATGGCCTCACTAGCCCTGAGTAGTTAGCTGGGTTTCTAGCACCAGGCACGATTTCCCTCCTGCCGAGTGTGCCTTAAATCTGGTTAGAGTGCCGTTGGTTCCCACCAAGATGAGTGCCACTATTGCGCCTCTCAGGAGGGCCTTGCAGGGCCGGTCACTGTTGTGGTTCGTAGGTGTCACAGCTGGGTAGAATTACAGGTTGCCCCCCTCACTTGACAGTTTACACAGCACCTTCTGCTACTATTGAAGCTAGTCCTTGGAGATGAGGCATTTGGGTTTTATCCCATTAAAATGTTCTGAGTCCCATACCCCAAGTGCATGGTGTCTTCAGCAGTAGGGACTTACCTTCAACACCTGGGAGGTAACCAAGGCAACAGCAATAGCTGATACTATTTTTGTAAATCTCCTGGACTCCCCTGACCAAGAACTTGAAAAGGTGTCTTTTCATGTTTGGCACTTGCATTTTGTTAGACTGTCTATGGCTCCTTGTGGGGAGCATTGGTATCCTACATGACATAACTTCATTAAAAATTCATATGCACTACCTGGGTATCAACATGTAGAAGATTGCAAATAGGTCCATATCTATCCCCATGCACCAAACTCAAGTCCAAGTGGATCAAGGACCTCAACATAAAACCAACCACACTGAACCTCATAGAAGAGAAAGTGAGAAATAACCTTGAATGCATAGGCACAGGAGACCTCTTCCTAAATATACCACCAGTAGCACAGACACTGAGAGCAACAATTAATAGATGGGACCTCCTGAAACTGAGAAGCTTCGCAAATCAAAGGACATGGCCAACAAGACAAAACAGCTGCCTACAGAATGGGAAAAGAGCTTCACCAACCCCACATCCGGCTGAGGGATGATCTCTAAAATATATAAAGAAATCAAGAAACTAGACATCAAAAGACCAAATAATCCAATAAAAAATGGGGTACAGGTATAAACAGAGAACTCTTCAACAGAGGAATCTCAAATGGCAGAAAGACACTCAAGGAAACGCTCAGAATCCTTAGTCATCAAAGAAATGCAAATCAAAACCACCCTGAGATATCATATTACACCTATCAGAATGGCCAATATCAAAAACTCTGATGACAGCTTATGCTAGAGGGGATGTGGAGTAAGGGGAACACTCCTCTATTGCTGGTGGGAGTGCAAATTTCCACAGCTGCCACTTTGGAAATCAGTATGGCCGTTTCACAGAAAATTGGGAATTAATCTACCTCAAGATCCTCATTACCACTTTGGGGCATATACCTAAAGGATGCACACTCACACTACATGGACATTTGCTCATCTGTGTTCATAGGAGCATTATTCATAATAGCTAGAAACTGGAAACAGCCTAGATGCCCTTCAACAGAAGAATGGACAAAGAAAATGTGGTACATTTACACTATGGAGTAAGAAACAATGACACCTTGAAATTTGTAGACAAATGGATAAAACTAGAAAAAGCTCTCCTGAGTGAGGTAACCTAGACCCAGAAAGTCAAATATAATATGTACTCACTCATAAGTAGATATTATACTTAAAGCAAAGGATAACCAGCCCACAGGCCACAACCCCAGAGAACCTAAGAAACGAAGACTACTCTAAAAGAGTCATACATGGATCTGCCTTCTGCCTAGGAAAGGGCAAGATTTCATGAGTAAATTGGGAGCGTGGGGGGCAGGAGGGAAAGTGGAGGGGCAGGAGGGAAGGGGGAGAGGAGAGTGGAAGAAAATTTATAGCTCAATAAAAATAAATTAAAATACTTATGCAAATAGGCTTATGTGCATTGTATGTAATTTTAGTTAAATAAAAAATATGATTTCCTTTGACTTTTTGAAACATTCCGAGAGCTATTCTTCACTCCTCCTTCTCCTTCTGTATAGACCTTCCTCCGTCATTCCTAATTAAAGTCCCCTCATTTTCCCACACCCCCCTCATATCACTATTTCCTTCTCTAACACCACAAACACACACACACAGACACACACACACACATACGCCATGATCCCTTTTTATTTCAGTGGTTTCTGTGGTTACTTCAGGTATATACTCATGGAGATTTCAAAGCTAGGCAACACAGATGAGAGAGAACATTTGTCTTTATGGACCTGGGTTACCATAGTCAACATATTTTCTAGTTCTATCATTTACCTGAAAATTCCTTTTTTTCTAGCTATATAGCATTCCATTGTGTATATGTGTCACATTTTCATTATCCATTCATTAGCTGTAGGACAGTTAGGTTGTTTGAGGCAGAGTCTCTCTGTGTAGCCCTGGCTGTTCTGGAACTCCCTAGGTAGACCAGGCTGGCCTCTACTCACTATGTAGATCAGTTTTCCTTTTGTCTTCAAGTATGGCAGACAGTTTTGCTTGGCACACAGTTGACTTTCAAAGTTTCCATTTAGCTGGATGTGGTGGCTCATGCATGCAGGGGACAGAGGCCTCTGAGTTCAAAGCCTGCCTGATCTACATAGTGAGTTCCTGGCCAGCTAGGGCTACATAGGGAGACCCTATTTCAAATAAATAAGTGAATAAATGTTTCCATTGAGAAAGCAGCTGTTATTCTGATGGGGTTTGGTTTGAGATAACTTAATGTTTTGTCTCTACTATCTGTCAGCACTCTTGTTCTACATGTTTAGTGTTTCAGCTGTGATATGCTGTGGGGAGTTTCTTTTCTGGTTTTGTGTGTTTGGTGTTCTGTGTGCTTCTTGTATAGGTATGTTTTCTTCGTTTGGGGAAGTTTCTTCTATGATCTTGTTGAAAGTCTGGTTTGTGTGATGGCCCTGAGATTCTTCTCTCATCTATGCCTATAATTCACAGATTTGGTCTTTTCATAGTGTTACACATTTCCTGTTTTCCTTTCCTGTGTTTAAAAAATAATTTCCTATTCTTTGCTTGTATAGTCTAATTCCTCTCCTTTATCTAAGGCCTACTAGTCTACATTCAACTTAGTGCATTCTGCCTGTAAGATTTTCCCTTGTGTTTTCTAGTTGGGCAATTAATTTCATCTTCATTTCCACTTGCATTTTCCTCAATATTTCTGTTTCTTTATTGGACCTGGTTTTCACACCCTAGTTTGTGTTTTTCTTTTCATCGTTTCATTCAGTTATTTTTGCATATTTGGGCATTATCTTTAAGCCCCTTGAGCTACTTACTTTTGTCTTCTTTAAACTTGGTATCTTTGAGGAAGTTTTTGTTTTGTTTTTACATTCTGGGGTTCATCTAGGTAATTCTCATCAGATAACCTTTCTGGTGGTAGGCATGCGGTTTTGAACATTCACATTGTTTGTGTTTCTATGACGAGACCTGGGCATGTGGATTTCTTGTGTGTCTGACCCAAATAGTCCCAGAAGTCTGGGACAGAGCACAGGATGTGCAGGCTGTGTTGGGCTGGAATGTTGGGTATGGTGTGAGTAAGATGAAGTCAGGTGATTTTGGCCTGAGCACACTATGCTGGGGCACTGGGTGTGGGACCCTGGGCAGACTGGGATTGGGAAGGTATGTGAAGGGTAGGATCTGGCAGATTCCTGAGCACAAGATGTTCAAAGCCTGGGACTGGGCGTGGGTGTGGAACAGGGATGAAGTCAGGTGATAAGAAGGGGCTTGGCTGTTTTACAGGATGAGTGTCCTACCCAAAGCCTGAAGGATGGGGTGGCGAGGTGGGGCTAGCCATCGAGGCTGATGTACTCCATGCTAGACCCAGGCTAGGTCTAGGAAGCATGGGTAGAGGAGGGTCAGGTAGACTCACCAGCCAACCCAGTGCAAGAGATGAGGAGCTGGGCTGGGCTTGGAGGTTGCATTATTGGCGCTGTTCTACGTGCCCCTCCTACACGTGGGTAAGAGGATGGTCTAGGAATGACCTCAATTTGGGGATTTTTTTAAAGCTCCTGGGAGCTTGTGGGGTGATTCTGAAGCATGGGCAAAATTGATAGCTACTGGTACAGGGCTCTACAAACAGCACCAGATGGTTCTATGTGAAGTGAAACGCTTTCCCAAATGGTGAGAGTTAGGGCCTGGACCCCAAATAGTACTTGTCCTGCATGGGTATTTTAGGCAGGGAAACTTTGTTCCCTCCGATACATCCTCTGCAGAGATAAGGTGGCTTATACATGTGTGCACTGGCTAGCTTTGTATCAGCTTAACAGAACTACAGTCATTTGGGAAGAGGGAACCTCAATTGGGAAAATGCCCCCACCAGACAGAACTGTGGGCCAACCTGTAGTGCTTTTTCTTAGTGATTGGTGTTGGAGGGCCCAGCCCAGTGTAGGCAGTAGCACCCTGGGCAGGTGCTCCT